CAAGAAATAGAACAAAACTTGAGAAAAGAGGTATGAATTTTATAAAATTATTAATATAATTAAATTAAATAAATAATATAAGACGGATATATAATGATAAATGTTAAATTAATAATCATATTTCAGACTCAAGCTTTTGAAAAAGATCAAGCTGAATGGCAAATGCGTGAATCAGAATTGGTTGGTCAAATTAAAGCTCTCCAAGAAACCATTAATACTCTTTCGCAACAAAAAGATCTTTCAAAAAGGAAAAGCGGAAACACAAGTTCTAATGATGGTATAACTCAATTTATTTACTACAAAATAATTTTGGTCATTTAACAGCAATGATGAGGTTTTTCATAATTCTCACGGGGTCAACCATCTTTTTTACTATCGATGGTGTATAGAAGACAGTCCTCCTCCATCACCTACATCACCTACATCACCTACAGGAGGATCTCCGACTTCGTATCATACCGCTGTCCGTGAAGTCAAGATTGCTAAAAGAACAATTAAAGAACTTGAAAGACGTGCTAATGATCTGGTGACTGAAATGGAAAACGTTGAAAGTTTACATACCAATTCAATGGCTACAAACAAAAACCATATCGCCAAGATTCATCATTTAGAAAATGAGCTTGATCAAGTTAAACACATGAATCAGACATTAATGGAAGACAGTGAAAGGTATCAACTACTGTTACGTGAAAAGACCATGAGAGGTGAATTTGTGCTAACTCATGTCATGCAGGTATGTTCATATTTTCTTGATCATATTTTCTATCACGTATAACTATTAAATTAATTAATCTATATACCATTTCTTCAAAAGAGAAATACAAAATATAGTTGCATTGCAGGAAAAAAGACAAATCTCACAAAGCAAAATAGTAAATCAACTCAAGACGATGCATCCGTCAACACAAAATTCATTTCTGTAGATTTGGAAGCCGAATTACATCGTGCTATGAATGAAGTGAATGACGGGAATGACCACACAATTATTGAAAGTTCGTACTTGATTTCATTTTTATTTCAAATTTTAAAGCATGATCTCAATATATTTATTTTATCAACTTTATAGAATTACAAGATGAAATCAAATTGCTCAAAGATTCCAACAAGTCATTGTCCCTTTATATTCAAAAGATTCTCCATCGTATCATGGAAGCTAAAGGTTTTGAGGAAATTTTAGCCAAGGATTGGTCAGCAAAACAAGAAACTCCACTTACTTTACCAAAATGTTCTTTAAGTCAGGAACCTGTAAAAAAGAAACCGGCAAGACGAAAAACCTTTAGTTTTGTTTTAGGGCGTACAACATAGTTATCATTATTACTTGACTCAAAATAACAATGCGATGCGAAGCTTTTATTATGTACTATATGCATTTTTTTTTTCTCATTCAAAAGCAAACACTTGTATTAATATAACGGTAAGCTATTAATATTATTTATTTTTATCTTTATTTTTATTTAATGCTAGTAATACTGGCAATTTATTTATCTTGTAAATAGTTAAATTATAAATAAAATGTTATTTTTCCATTTGTCACGTCTAACAAGTAGCGTAAGCTTATAGTGGCTCCCAAAAGAATGTATTTCCTAAATGCAAAATTTTGTGCTTAAATATTTCCCAATATTAAATTATTTGGAACAAAATTTTCTTATTTAACTAAATAATATCAATGCGAAATTTTATTTAAATTTCACCTATGCATTGTTTCGAGAGCCCTAATAAAATCTAATAATGATTTAAACTTTAAACAAGGATCCTTATAATTTCAGTTTAAATATACTTGATTATTACGTGGATTTTAGAATTTAGAATACAAGTATCAAAAATCGTATTTCGAATAATGGCCTGAATTAAGTGATTTTAAAAATATGGGTATGCATTTACACCTTTATTAAAACGCGCCTAGGTGTTTTACACCTATGCATATATTATCTCAAAATTGGTGCGTAGTGTTCTAAATAAACTATATTACTCAAAAACTTACACTAGTTAAAATTTTGTAAGGTAAATGCGTTAAGATGACGGATTGAACGTATTACAAGGAAATAGGATGTTCTTTACTAAACAAATTGAATTTATTCACCAAGTTGTTTTTACTTTCCCTCGAATTTTGGAGCAATAGCATTTTATTAATAGATTAATTTGTTGCGCCAAAAATGTATAATGAAAAACCTATTAATAAAAGGCTGTTAATATTTTATAAAATTTCGAAGTAAAAATTGTTATTTTAAACAAGGTTACTTAGTGAATAAGGTCCGATTTACTTAGCAAACATTCAGGTTTGTATTATAAAACAGTTATTAATAAAGAACACGTAAAAAGAACGTATATTGTTGTAATTTTCTAATATCATAACAGTTAGATAAAACAATCGTTTTTTTTTTTGTTAATGGAAGAAGAGTTAACTTGTATTAAATAAAATTTAAAGAGATAAGGATTTTTTATAGACTTTATTGGCAAAAACTGTCAACTTCGCTATTTTATCCGCATTTACCTTACATTGTATAAAATTTCAAAACTTAGAGAAAAATATAAAACTCCAAAAAAGATTTTTGTTAAATTAGCAGGTTAATATTTAAATAAAATTTAAAATTATTATTAGTTAGGGTTAAGATTCGAGCTATTATTAGGTTTAGAGTTAGAGGGCATATATATATGCAAAATGAAGTGCTGAAAACTTTTAATTAGAAATTCAAGACTAATTTACATAATGAACTTTTCGTGATATTTAAAATTTTTAATTTTTTTCTAATTTTTCGTTCATTTTTGTTACGCAAGAATCCTGTGATCTAATTGGTCAATCATATTAACCTGCGATATCCTATAAAAATACATAAATAAATAATAAATGCAAAGATACTATAGATATTTTATCATGAATACTGTAAATATTTTAGTTAGGCAAACCTTTACGTATAATTAAAATTTTATAGTTTAGCTAAAAATAGTACGTACGCACGCACGCACGCATTAGAGCTCTTACCCGGGTTAGAAAATACCGACCCGGGCGGGTCAGGTATTAACACGGGTTATAACCCGGGTCAACGGGTCATACAGAAATTCATAAAGTTTTGAAAGTTAATCCTTAAAAGTTGATGTAACGACTCTTAATTAGAACGATTAGCATGAAGAGCAGCCTGTACTCCAAATATTTAAACCGGAACTTTTTTGAATTTGTATTGAAAAATTTCTCGACCTTGTGTTCAATTTTCGACTCGTAGTCAGTTACTATTTAGTAAATTGTCTTGTTATATTAGGTAAATCTCATTTTAGTAGACTACGCCAGGGCGTAGGATCGATTTTACTGTCACATGATTTTCCGACGTTTATCAACCAATCAAAGATCAGGAT